TCTTCTGTGGAGCCGCTAGGTGAGTTCGAACCACCAACCTTTCAGTTAGCAGCCGAGCACTTAACCACTGCGCCACGGAGGCTCCTTAAAGAGGACTGTATCTATAGCAAATACGAGACGTGGCGTTCAGTCAAGGTTCAGTCCATCTTTACTTACAAAGCGCTGTAACCCCACAAGAGAGGTACCAAAACATAGTTCTCAAAATGTTAGAAACATCATTCTCATATAAATACACAATGAAAACATCCGTGAGAATGTCATCAGAATGACAAAACTGGTTCAAACGATGAAGCAAGAAACTGGTGTGTTTGTGGGTGTACACAGTGAAAAAGAGAATGCTAGAGTAAGATAGCTAGGTGTCTTAGTCATCTTGTGCTGCTCTAACAGAAATACCACAAGTGGATGGCTTTCACAAAGAGAACTTTATTTTCTCACAGTCTAGTAGGCTAGAAGTGCAAATTCAGAGAATCAGCTTCAGGGGAAGGCTTTCTCTCTCTGTCGACTCTGGAGGAAGGTCCTCGTCATCATCAGTCTTCCCCCGGACTAGGAGCTTCTCTGCACAGGAACCTCGGGTCCAAAGAACATGCTCTGCTCCCAGTGCTTCTTTCTTGGTGGGATGAGGTCTCCCATTCTCTGCTTGCCTCCCTTTCCTTTTATCTCTTACAAGAGATAAAAGGTGGTGCAGGCCACACCCTAGGGAAACTCCCTTTACATTGGATCAGGGATGTGACCTGGGGAAGGACGGTTTTACAAATCCCACCCTAATCCTCTTTAACATAAAATTACAATCACAAAATGGAGGCAAACCACACAATTCTGGGAATCATGGCCCAGCCAAACTGATACACACATTATTGGGGGGGACATAATTCAAACCATGACAGCTAGGTTAGCTACAAAACTGGCTACTGTCCTTCAGGGCCATAAGACCATAACCTTTGGAGTTATCATCTCTTCCAAATGGCAACCACACGCCTCTCTATCAGAATCCATTCATATCTTACTCGTTTTTGAAATGTTAACATCTGAGTTTACAGAGTTTGAGGCCTGATCCATAGCAGATAAGAAATCAAACAAAATTTTATTCCCCTAGAGTTGTGTTTCTCAACCAGGATTCCAGAGAAAGGCTTGAGCCCTAAGGCCCAAGGCAGTCTTTGGATGTAATCAATCGACTTCTCTCCCAGGCATCTAAAGTGGTACTAGTTGTGGACCATCTGCGGGAGAAATCAGGAAAGAATCACTCAAACCGTTGTCTATGTTCTGAGAATCAACTGATCCTGATTCTTCTGCCCTATTTCCAAGTTTTGGATATTTTTTTCTGAACAGGAGAAACTACAGGTATAGATTGTGAGGTAGGGTGAAGCCACAGGAACTTGTACATTCAGTATCTGAGGACCCACCTGGGAGAAAGACATGATAAAATGCTCCTAGTGTAAGAAGAACTTTAGTGAGAACGTGAATTTATCCAACACCAGGAAAGTCACAGGGGAGAGAAGCCGTGCAAATGTACAACACGTGGGGGAGGGTCCCTGTGGACTTGTTCCACCTCACTGACCAGAAAGGAAGGTCCTCGTGGCAGAGAGAGCCCAGAGGTCTCTTCCCCCATTGGAAAAAGGGCTAAATTCACAACCCTATGTTGATGACATATCTTAACACAAACACCAGGGAGGAATTCTGCAAATGCCCTGACTGGTTAAGTCAACCTCAGACTATTCACACTGAACACAAGTTCTAGTGTCTCAGGGGAGAGAAGAACTTCAGCTTCAGCTCCAACTCATTAAGCAGCAAAGTCTCCACAAAGCTGAGAAACTCTTTAAAATATTCATAGTAAGAGACATTTATAATTTATACTGGTTAAGTGCTTGACTACTAATTGAAAGGATGGCAGTTCAAATCCACCCAGAGGTGCCTTGGAAGAAAGGTATGTCGATCCGCTTCCAAAAGGTCACAGCCATGAAAACCCTATGGAGCACAGTTCTACTTTGCAACACACAGGTTTACCACAAGACAGACTTGACAGCAACTGGTTTGGTTTTTTGTTTTGTTTTGTTTTTTAAAGACATTTGCCCAGAGAGCTAAGACGGCTGCACCCACGTAGACCCACAGTCTGGGAAGACCTCTCCACTGGGCCTCGGCCACCTGAGACTTCGGCCCATAAAGCATCAGGCACCTGCAGCTGGGCAAAGGATGTTGACTCTGCTGCCTGCTTCAGGTTAGCTCCTGGTATGGATCAGTATAACACAGGGGTTAACACAAAGTTTTGGGCTTGGGTCAGGTGACGCAAGCCATGGTCTTTTCAATTGCTTCATATGCATAAGAAAGTTGGACAATGAAAAAAGAAGACAAAAGAAGAACTGACGCATTTAAATTGTGGTGTTGGTGAAGAATATTGAATATTCTGTCAGAAGAACTAACAAATCAGTCTTGGAAGAAATACAGTCAGAATGCTTTTTAGAAGTGGGGATGGTGAGACTTCGGCTAGCTTACTTTGGATGTGTTATCAGGAAAGACCAATTACTAGAAAAGGACATTATGTTTGGTAAAGGGTCAGTGAAAACGAGGGAAACCCTTAATGAGATGGATTGACACAATAGCCACAACAATGGGCTCAGACATATCAAAGATCACAAAGATGGCGCAGGACCGGGCAACGTTTTGTTCTGTTACACATAAGGTCACAAGGAGTTAGAGCCAACTAATAACAACAACAACAGGGTTTGGGGGGGTCAAACAAACTGTGTCCAAGTCCTGGCTTTGCCACTTACTAGCTATGAAATCTTGGATGAATCAATTAGTTTTTCTGAGCCTCATTTTTTAATTTCATATAAAATGGGATTAATGTTAGTACCAATTTTCATTGGTATTGTGAGAATCAATGAGGGGATGAATGCTGAGCACTTTCCCCAGTGTCTGGCCCATGGTAAACACGCAGTGAAGGAGTCTGTGTTCCACCATCTTCTTTTTGTATCACTGACCCATTTCCCAGAATCCACTAGCTCATGGTGCCTCAAGACCACTAGCTTGAACATTGGGGATAGAGAAGTGGCTTATTGTGTGCAGTTGTTCAAATGATGGCACTGATGACACGTAACTTCTCCAAAGCACTGAGGTTCTGAAGAGGCCACAGGGAATAAGGGGTTGGCAAAGCTGGAGTCAAGTCTTTGGTCTTCTCCAGGGAGCCCCAAGGTGAGATGCAAACATCCTCCTGTTTCTGTCATTGGTCAGTCCCTTGGAGTAGCAGTTCTGGTGTTAGCAGCCCACTTTGTAAATGCACCAAACATGGCTAGGGGACAGGCCCGGCAATGAGATGATCACAGAACATTCAAGCTCCATTAGGTCATCTGAGACAACCTCCTTGTTTTGCAGAGGTGGAAGGATTGTCAGATGTAGCAAATAAAAGACAGGAAGCCCAGTTAAATTTAAATTTCAGATAAAAAAATGGAAAATAAAATTTTAGTATAAGTACATCCCAGGCAAAACTGGGGACATACTTATACCAAAAGAATATTTGTTGTTTATCTGAAATTCAAATTGAACTGGGAACCCTGTATTTTATCTGGAAACCTTATAAGAGGAAACCACCTAGCCATCAAGGGGGAAAGCAACTTGCTAGAGTCACACAGCAAGCCAGGTCTATTGGTTCCCAATCCGACACTCCTACCGCTCCACCCCCAAGACATACAGATATGCTCCAGCGTTCAGTTTTCCACTTCAGGCAAATGCTTGCTGGGTTGGATCTCTCAGATGCTTTGCCTGTCACACAAGGGAAAAACCAGTTGCCATCCAGTTGACTCCAACTCATGACGCAATGTGTGTAAGAGCAGAACTGTGCTCCACAGGGTTTTCAATGGCTGGGTTTTCAGTAGTAGATCATCAGGCCCTTCTTCCGAGGAACCTCCAGGTGGACTCAAACCTTAATCTTTCCGCAGCCGAGTGTGTCAACTGTTTGCACCACCCAGGGACTTTACACAAGGGAAGAACCACTGACTGAACACCCACAGAGCATGGCGGAGAGTAGGGGTGGGGTTAGGACTTCAGGGGATTTAGGTCTGAGTCCAGGTTTATTTTTGACTGAGAGTGACAGACCAATGTTTAACTGCTCTAAGGCTCAGTTTCTTAACTACCAAGTGGGCATACTAGAACCTATCTCCAAAAGGTTACTTTGAAGGTCAACTGAGATGAGCAATTTCCAGACAGTTCTGTTTCCTTAAAAGCTGTGGAACAGGTCGTCGTGTCCCTGCTTTTACCATGACCCATGAAGCCCTGCAAGGGGGAAGTGGGAGAGGACTCTCTGGTTTGTGTATGGCTGAGAACTGCACCCAAGTTTCCTCACTCCGCTCCCATGGGGCTTTGGGCTAAGTCCCTGGCCAGGCCCACAAACCAGGACCAAGTAATCCTGGTCCATCCCACCCTGATTTACGGGAATTCACACCAGCGATCAATCATCCTTAATTTGTAACTGGGCAGTGTCCTAGGCCAGCCAATAGCTAAGACTGACCTCCCCCCCACCCCAGCTCACACACCCCACCCTCGCTGACCCCGCGGGACTATCCACGCAGTCTACACGGAGGCTAACCACTGACCAGGAGTTGGAAGCAGGTTTGGCGCTGGCAGGGAGCTCACAGTGAAGAGGTGTGTGTGGGGGGGTCTTCTGCCGCCTTCTTTCTCTCCCTGCTGACTTTCATCTCAGCAGCTAGCTTCCACTTGAGACTTTTGCCTCCTCCTCCTCCTCCCCCCCTCCTTCCCTGGGGCTGTTGTCCCCAGCCCCCTTTGCACCTCCCCTCCTCCTCCAGCCTCTGGCCTCATTGTTTGGCTAAAGCGGGACCCCTAAGATTGAACAGATGGACAAAGACCCGGGCCGGGGGTTGGTGGAGGTTAGTGGGGGTGGGGGAAGGAAGGCCAGCGGGTGCCGGGAAAGGGCGCGGTTTGGGGGGGTAAACAAAACAGGGGGAGGAGCCAGGGAGAAGGTGGCCCCAGGAAGAGCAGGGGGAGCTCGCTGAGGGGGGCCAGTGCTGGGAACGGAATGGGGGCGGGCCCGCGGTGGAGTGGGGGCTCCTGGGCTCCCGAGTTCCAAGCCGGCTCCGACGCCGGCTCCCTCGGCAGGTCCCCGCTGACGTCGCCGCCCAGATGGCCTCCAGGCTGACCCCGCTGACCCTCCTGCTGCTGCTGCTGGCTCGGGTAAGTGGCCCCTTCCTGGGGTGTGGGCGGGGCGGGAGGGAGGGGGCTGAGGATTAACCCTTAAGGCTCCAGGGAGTGAAGAGAACTGCTCTCTGTGCTCGGCAAGTCAGCCCTGGTCCTCGGGGCAGCATTCCTAAAGCGGGGCAAGAGCTCTGGACTTGAATTAGATACAGGTTCTAATCCAGGCGCGACATGTGGCACTGAGCAAGTCACCTCTCCGAGCCTGCTTGTCCTGACTTATAGAGAGTACCCAGACGCCACCCTGTCCACCGAAAAGGGTTGCTCAAACACGGCAAGGAAGTGGCCAGCTTGTGGGTGGGTATGGGTGTGTGTGTGTGGGTGTGGGTGTGGGTGTGGGTGTGGGTGTGGGTGTGTGTGTGTGTGTGCCCCTTGACCTTCAACAGATGGTGTAGTTATGGGAGAGGAATCTGGATTCGGAGACCTTGGTTTCACTCCTATCTTTTCCTCCCACTTCTGTGAGACCCTGGGCTGATTATTTAATATGTCTGAGCATCAGTTTCTTCATCTGAGAAATGGGGATAACCATGGTTTCTCAGCCCGGGTACCATTGACATTTGTGGCTGGATAATTCTTTGCTATGAGGGACTGTCCTGTACATTGTAGAGTATTTGTGAGTATCTCTGACCTCCATGCACTAGATTCCAATAGCACTCTACCCAGTATGACAGCCAAAAATGCCTCCAGACCTTAACACATATCACCTGGGGGGCAATCCCCCTCCCAACTGAGAATCACTGGTCTGTACTATTTCCCTTCCTTCCTTCCTCCTTCCTTTTTGAAAGGCAGATTGTTTTCAATACCCACTAATGAGTCACAACCCAAAATGTGAAAAAACACTGTTATAAACCAATGAGCACAAGCTAAAATGTCTGTATGGACCAGGCGGGTTGAATCAAGACAAGCAGGTATTTAAAGAAGTTACAAGAACTTGGATAAATGGCATTTGATACTCAGCTTCAGTGCTTGGGAGACAACTTTCTATGTGGCAGTAGTTGATTAGAAATAACAGAATCCCTGCCTATCCCTCACTTCTACAGAGAATATCCCTGCCTCAACCAACCAGCCCATTGCTATCGAGTCAATTCCGACTCATAGTGACCCTATAGTACAGAGTATAGCTCCCCCATAGGATTTCCAAGGAGCAGCTGGTGGATTCAAACTGCTGACCTCTTGGTTAGCAGCTGTAGCTCTTAACCACTACGCCACCAGGGCTTCCTCATCCCTGCCTCAGTGCCTCTCTATTACCCTCTCTCTGAAGGAATTAGTGGTGGGGGCCCAGGACTAATTGTTCACCCACCAGGCTTTCCCAGGAATTACTGTGGTATAGGACATTTTATATCTCCTCACTCTGTTTTCCTGCTTTGAGTGATTATATGCCTCATAAAAAGAAAAATGAAACTCAGTTTCTTGAACCACAGGATGGAGCCTCCTCAGATCTGGATGATACCAGCCACAGACCCATGAAGAGCTTACAAGAGAGAAAGATAGAAGACAATGCAGAAGCAGATATCCCCAGAAATCTAACCATTCAACACACTGTGAACTCGTCTGCCTTGCTAACAACCACCCAACCTACCACTCAACCTACCACTCAACCCACCTCTCAACCCACCTCTCAACCCACCTCTCAACCCACCTCTCAACCCACCTCCCAACCCACCTCCCAACCCACCTCCCAACCCACCTCCCAACCCACAACCCAACCAACTACCCAGCCCCCCACAGATTCTCCCACCCAGCCCCCTACTGAGCCCTTCTGCCCAGAGCCCATCACTTCCTGTTCTGATTTGGAGATTAATGCAGCGGAGGATATGTTGGCAGAGGCTTTGACAGATTTCTCCTTGAAGCTCCACCGCGCCTTCTCAGAGGTGAAGAAGGCTGAGACCAACATGGCCTTTTCCCCGTTCAGCATTGCCAGCCTCCTCACTCAGGTCCTGCTTGGTAAGAACCAGACAGAATTCTCTCCAGTTCATACGCTGGACATCCCCATTAGGACCACCAACCCAGAACCCTTCTGCAAGCCTGTGCTCCTGGGAGGAAGCTGTAAAAATGAGCTACGTATGGGAGGGTAACTTCATTCTTGAACATTCATTCATTCCCTCATTTAATAATGATTTAATCTGAGTTAATGTGAGTCGGAATCGACTCAACAGCAACAGGGTTTGGTTTTGTTTGGTATTGCTTGTAAGTTCCCTGGGTAGTACAAATGGTTGGCTCAGCTGCTAACTGAAAGGTTCAGGGTCTGAGTCTACTCAGAGCCACGTGGAAAGAAAGGTCTGGCAATCTACTTCTGAAAAGTCAGCCTCTGAAAACTTATAGAGCACAGTTCTACTTTGATACACATGCGGTCATCATGAATCAGCACTGACTTGATGGCAGCTGGTAAATAACTAAGAAATTGCTTATAAAACTCTGTGGATTATAAAAGAACATATAAAACAAGGTCCCAGCCACCAACCATGTTCAGGGTTGGGTGATAAGGGAGATGAAACCATCAGAGAATCTTGGCAATGCTGCTTTCTAGCTGTGTGACCTTGAGTAGATCACGTAACCTCTCTGAGCCTGAGTCCTCATGTAAAATGGAGATGGTGATATCTACCTCAAAAAAATTGTTGAGAAGTAGATAGTCTGGTGCCTGACTCCATGGGAAGTCAATAAATGTTGATCCCTGTGCTTTCCCTGAGGGAGCACTGTCAAGTCCCTTGAGGTAATTACTCCAGGAATGGCACAAACAAATTGCTACAAGCAGTGGAGAGAGCTATCACTCCCAAGGGCAAAATCCAGGAAGGCTGCTAGAGACAGTACAGTGAAAAGTTAAAAACTTTTCTTCTGAAGTTCCAGAATCCCAGAATCCCTGTCCTCTACCCACTAGATGCCAGTAACACCCCACCCCACCCCAGTTGTGACAACCAAAATGTCTCCAGACATTGCCAGATGTCCCCTGGGAGGCAAATTTCAGTTGCTTGGTTTCAGTTAATTTCTTTATTGACCAAAATACAGGGCTTCGTATCCTGTCTCCATACTCCACTTACTAGCTGTGTGACCTTAAATTGAGCAATTTCCTTAATCTCTTAAACCTCAGTTTCCTCATCTGTATAATGGGAATAGTCACTGTCCCTATCTAAAAGGGTTATTGTGAAGATTCAATGAGATAATATGGGAGAAGCTCATATGATGCCTGGAACACAGTAAGTGCACAATATATGTTAGCTATTACTGCGTGGAAGATGTGTACAATAAGTACTTAATAATGAATGGTTAACTGAGAGGATATTGAACATCCTCTTTTATGATTCTCTGATTTCTCCTCTGAATAGTGATTGAGTGTCCCTGCCTATAGTGTGAGCTTTTGTAAACCCAACCCAAGTAGAAACCAGTTAATGTGGAACAGCAAGTGATTGGGCCAGGCTTTCTAAGATGAGTGTGATTGAAATAGGCAACAAAATGGGAGAGGAAAGTATTCAAAGCCCTGGAAAAACCTAGCTCTGTGATTGTTCATAATTACCCCACCCCTCTATTTCTGACATATCTATTGTCTTCCAAAAAAGATGCTTCTGGCTCTGATGCTTACTGTCTCCATAGCAGGGAATAACTCTCCATTCCAACTTGGACCTTCATTCAGCCCTACTCCCAAAAGGCAGGTCCCCCATTCCTCCTGCAGTGGCCCCTCATGTTGGTCCTTTGTTGTAGGGGCTGGGGACAGCACCAAGAGAAACCTGGAGAGCGTCCTCTCTTACCCCAAGGACTTTCCCTGTGTCCACCAGGCCCTGAAGGCCTTCACCTCCAAAGGTGTCACTTCAGCCTCTCAGATCTTCCACACCCCAGGTAAGTGCCAGGGGAGGGTCAGTAGCTGCTAAGAAGGGTCCTGAGAGGATTCTTGGGACGCGGGTGGTAAGTGGGGGTGCTCAGCATCAGTGAAAGAGAGAACAGAGGGAAAGTTGGAGCTAGAACATAGAACTTCAGGGATAGAGTGCAGAGCAAGTGAGGGTCTTAGCAGCATAATTCTCCTGTGGAGACCTTGGCAAGTCGTTTATATTCATCAACTCATTTTAGAATGAGAAGGTACTTACGCATTTATAAGGTCCTTGGGTGTCGCAAACAGTTTGTGCTTGACTACTGACCTAAAGGTGGGTGGTTCAAGCCCACCCAGCTGCTCTGTGGAAGAAAGACCTGGCAGTTTGCTTCCTTAAAGATTACAGCCAAGAAGACCCTATGGAGCAGTTCTACGTTACAACGCATGGGGTTGCCATGAGTCGGAATAGGCTTGACGGCAGTGGGTTTGGTTGTTTGATGGATTCATAAAAAGGGCTAGAAGGCTCTAGAGGTATAAACACAAAATAGGCCAAAAAAACCCAAAAAACTTGCTAATCTTTGGATCAGGGTAGTCTCAGGACTCTTATTCTTTGTACTTTTGTGTTATTTGAATTCGTTATCCTTTACATGTATCCCTTTAGTAACTAGGTAATAATTGTAATAGCAACAAATAATAAACTTCCAAAATGATTTAGTGCAGTTGTTTTCGAACTTCGTCCCTCAGAGTCCTAGAGTTCTGCAGAGCTGTTTCAAGGGTCACTGAGTGGTGGGGGAGGGGAGGTCAGGGAGGCTGAGTGATGGGGAGTGTGGTACCACTTCCCCTAACAGGTAGGTGGAGCCAGCTGGGACCTGAGTCCCTACCCAGCCTCCACCAGAGCCATTTTATATTGTGGACTTCAGAGATTACTTTATTTGAAAACCCATTTCTGCTGCCTAAAAAGGTTTGCAAAACACCGATCTAGCCTAACCCCCTCTCTTAGTTCGCTAGTGCTGCTGTAGCAGAAATACCATGAGCGGGTGGTTTTAAAGAACAGAACTTGATTTTCTCACTGTTTAGGAGACTTAGAAGTTTGAATTCAGGGCACCAGGGGAAGATCCTTGTATCTTTCAGCCTCAGCATTCCTCGGTTCCTTGGAGATCTTCACGTGGCATCTGTCAGGGGTTCCCGAGTATGTGCTTGCTGGTTGTGTCTATGCTGATCCTTACAATTCAGAAGTGATTAGATTTAGGACACACACTGATGGGAGCCGTGATGGTGCAGTGGTTAAGAGCTCAGGCTGCTAATCCAAAGGCTGGCAGTTCAAATCCACCAGCCGCTTCTTGGAAACCCTATTCACTTGCTGTGAATCTATGAGTGGAATCAACTTGCTGGCAGTGGGGAAGTTTCGGTTTGGGGTTACACTGTTGTGGTCTCATTAACGTAACAAAGAAAACCCTGTTTCCAAATAGGATTATATCCACAAGTATAGGGTTTAGGATTCTAACACATATTTTGGAGGGACACAATTCAATTCATAACACCCCCTTTTTTAAAAAAAGGAAAAAAAAATGCCTCTTTTTTTAACTCTAAAAGCGATATTTGTTGTGAAAAGCAGAAAATACAGAGAAGCCAAAAAAAAAGGAAGGAAGGGAACAGAAGAGCCGGAAAAAGTCACCTATCAGCCCCATCATCGTCACCCTCTTTTTTTTTTTTTTTTTATTGTGCTGAAAATATATATACCAAAACATTGGCTGACACAACTTCCACATTTACAATTCAATGACATGGATCACGCTTTTCATGTTGTGCCGCTACTATCACTATCTGTTTCCAAAATATTCCATCACCATTAACATAAACTCAGTGCCCCCTAAGCGAAAAACTCCCTCTGTCCCTTCCCTCCCACCCCTGGTAATCATTGGTTCCTATATACTTACTTATTTCATATATGTGAGATCATACCGTATTTGTCCTTTTGGGAGTGATTTATTTCACTCAGCATAATGTTCTCAGGGTTCCTCCATGTTGTGGCATGCATAACACCCTCTTTTTAGAGATAGGGAAAATGTGGCTCAGAGGTGTGCAAGCAGCATTGCATTGACTTGTTTGCTATGTCAGCTTTATCCTTGGTCTTGCTGGATTGTTGGGAAATTCAGCTGCATTCGTTATTTAGGATTTCCTGCCCCCCTCTCATCCCCACACCCACCCTGGACTTGTGCCAAGGTTCTGGGATCTTACGCTGTACCTCAGCATCACAAAGCCAGGAAAAATTTATCTTTCAAACACTGTTTTTCTCAGTGGACTTGGGCTTTGGAGAACAAAAGCAGGAAGCACAGAGTCTGTTCCTTGCTGGATTAAGGGAAGAAAAGAGAGAAACACAGGGAGGCAAATGGAAGTCAGTATCTCAGCAAGTTATCTTGTGCCAAGCCAAGGTCACATGACAGGTAGAGGTATTGAGGATCTAGGACCCAGCTCTTCTGCTCTTAGACCAGGGTTTGCTTTCTTTGGGCCACATTTACTCCACCTTTAAAAGGGAGCTGGACCCCTGGCTCCAACATGCTGTGTTCATTGGAATGTGTGAGAAGAGCTATTGGGAGCACGCTCACTCAAAACCTGCTCTTGAAAGGGGAGGGGGTGTTCAGGGGACTTATGCTTCCTTCTCTTGACCTGCCCCACAGACCTGGCCATAAGAGATGCCTTTGTGAATGCCTCTCAGAGCCTGTATGGCAGCAGCCCCAGAGTCCTGAGCAACAACAGCGATGCCAACCTAGAGCTCATCAATACCTGGGTGGCTAAGAAGACCAACAACAAGATCAGCCAGCTGCTGGACAGCCTGCCCTCCGACACTCGCCTTGTCCTTCTCAACGCTATCTACCTGAGTGGTAAGGACCCTCAATCAGGTAGTCTTCCCATTCTGGGTTCTTCCTCCCCTCCTGGCCACAGAGCCCGCCCAATCCGAGTTCCACAACTGGATCCCGATGTACCAGCCCCAGCCCTTGCCAACAGGGCTTTTAGCTTCTCTTCATCCTTACCCCACCTGCATTGGAGCCACCCTCCCCCTTTCTCTTTCCTCTAGCCAAGTGGAAGACAACATTTGATCATAAAAAAACCAGGATGGAGCCCTTTTACTTCAAATCCTCTGAGATAAAAGTACCCATGATGACTAGCAAGAAGTACCCTGTGGCCCATTTCACCGACCCGACTTTGAAGGCCAAGGTCAGTTCTTGGCCCTTCCCACTCCTGATTCAGAGCCTCCTGAGTATCCTGATTTATTTTGTGCTATGACCCATCCTTTTTGGGTCCACCCTTACGAATTCATCACTTCTACTCCTTCCATCTATCTTTGCACCCTATCTTTCGTACCTCTCCTCTCTTCAGTTTTGGCTGAGGCAGGCATTGTGTGTTTTAGGCTAGAAGGCAGGATTCTAAAGTTTCTTCATCCATCTCTACTACATCTAATAGCAAGAAGTGAGTTATAGTCCTATTCTGTGCCTCTGTTTCTCTTTCTGGTCAACCCATCAGCAGCCCTTGGTGGCTTGGTAAGTCTTGTGAGGATGTATACTTGTGTATAGCATATATATGTATGTGCACAGATATATGAGTACAACTATGTATGTGCTTTTATGTGGTATGTACATGTGTGCACATGTGTTAAATGGCTTAAGCTCCTTAGGAGAAATTGGGCAATGTAATGTCAATGGATAGAGAGGGAGGAAAGACAGTATGGAACCCAGAGGATTCTAGTTAGTAAACCATCTCATGTCCAGTGACCAGACCTTTCTATCTTGTTGTTTTTGTTGTTGGGCGTGTTGAGTCAGTTTTTGACTCATAGCAACTCCACATGATAAAGTAGAACTGCCCTATTGGCTTTTCTAGGCTGTAATTTTTACAAGAGCAGCTCACTAGGTATTTCTCCTGTGCATCCGCTAGCTGGGGTCTATCTTGTTAGGAAAAAAAAAACACAGACCTGTGAGATAGAAAACAATGGGAGACACCCAATGATTCAATACTAGGCTGGGAAGTATAGGATCTGTTCTTAGAACATGGGAGCTTATTCCCATCTTGGGAGGTTTTCCTTCTGCCTGGACCCCTGTTCACTCAGATTTTCTCATAACTTGTTCTTTCTGGTCATTCAGGTCTCAGCTCAGAGGTCACTTTGGTAAAGAATCCTTGTTTCCCCCCTTAAATAGCCTCTTCCCCACCCTGTACCATTGCCCTGTTTTATAATATTGATGGTACTTATCACTATCTGAAATTCTGTTGTTTATTTGCTTACAGTATTATCTATCTCCCTGATATTGTCTCTTGCTTTGGGAACAGGGACCTTGCCTGTCTTATTTCCTACTGTATCCCCAGTACCTAGAACAATGCCACATATGGTAGGTGCTCATTAAATGTTGGCTGAGTAAGTGAACAAATATATGGCATGTTGAGGACGTCACTCTAATTTAGAGTAGATGGAAGAGGGTATCAAGGTGAAGTTTTTTAACACCAAAGGAGGAGTTTTATGCATAAAAAAGACTAAAGTTGATTGGGTTGTTTTTTGTTATTGTTGTTTGTTTTCATTAGATTTTTTAAAAAACATGTTTTGTTTTTGTTGTAGAGAATGTACACAGCAGAACATACACCAATTCAACAGTTTCTACGTGTACAATTCAGTGACGTTGATTACATTCTTCTAGATGTGCAGACATTCTTACCCTCCTTTTCTGAGTTGTTCCTCCCCTATTACCATAAACTCACTGCCCCTGAAGTTTCCTATCTAATCTTTCGAGTTGCTGTTGTCAGTTTGATCCCATATAGATAGACCTTGAAAGAGCACAATGCTCAAGGCAGACATTCTTTATTGTTTGGTTTTAAGAAGACTTTAGGGGATATTTTTGGTTCAATGTTTAAAGATTATCTCAGGGCAGTAGTTTCAGGGGTTCATCCAACCTCCATGGCTCCAGAAAATCTAGAGTCTATGAGAATTTTAGATTCTGTTCCACATTTTCCCCCTTTTGATCAGGATTCTTCTATGGAATCTTTGATCAAAATGTTCAGAGTAATGGTAGCTGGGCACCATCCAGTTCTTCTGGTCTCATGGCAAAGGAGGCATTTGTTCATGGAGGCCATTCATTGGGTTTTAAACAAATGTTCAATATATTAATGTTATAAATTTAAAATCAAAGTTTTACTTAAGCCTTTTAATTTTAAGTTAAACTCACTACCCTATTTATAATAGAGCAATTTTTGTTTTGCTCCAACTTTCTATTGTTCTTTAATTAATTAAATCATATTGAATAGATTAAATTCCTTTAAGCCAATTATTCCATTTACAATCTTAGTTAATATTTCTATAAGCATTTCAAGCTCCCTTTATAAATTTGATATGCTTGATTTTCTTTTTAGGCATGTTAAATACTTAATGGGGAAATTACAACCTTGCTAGACCATCTTCCTAAACACCTAAAGCCCATTTTAAAATTAAATTAAATTTGAAAGTAAATCAACTTCCATTCTATATCCCAATATCATTCTTAATGTTAGTGGAATTATCCTATAATTTTTAGCTTAAAAGTATAAAACTAGCATGTCAGATTCTCTTAAAAATTATAAACACTGTTTTAAATAACAAATATACTGATTACCCTGAACTTAACACCCAGTGGTAATATTATGGAGTTGGTTTACTTTGCCATTTCCATATTTAATTCTAACCCTTCTTGGAGCTTAAGGATATTTTTTAAATTTCATTGTGCTTTAGGTGAAAGTTTACAGCTCAAATTTGTTTCTCATTCAAAAATTTACACACATACTGTTTTGTGACATTAGTTGCAATCCCCACAATGTGACAACACTCCTTTCCATCCCAGGTTCCCTGTGTCCATTCGTCCAGTTCCTGTCTCTTCCTGCCTTCTTGTCTTGCTTTTGGGCAGGAATTGCCCCTTTGATCTCGTATATTTGATTGAACTAAGAAGCACGTTCCTCACATGTGTTATTGTTTGTTTTATAGGCCTCTCTAATCTTTGTCTGAAAAGTGGGCTCCAGGAGTGGTTTCAATTCTGAGTTAGCAGAGTATCCGGGGGCCGTAGTCTCGGGGGTTGCAGAGCTTAGGGATATTTACCCAACTAAAACAGTTAGATTTACCATCTCAGGTATGCTGAAGTTACTGGCTTCAAAATCAAGACCACAACATGGTAATTTATTGATCAGAGATTTAAGGTCTGTATACAGGACTTGAAGTCTATGTACTTCCCGGGTAAGTCTACACTATTTGGGGCCTATGTCAACAGGAACCCCGTGTTCACACTCTTCAGATGATATTGGTGTATAGGCTACTTCTTCTGAACTATTTTTTCAAGTTCCAACAGTTGATTGGTTTCAGTTAATTTCTTTATTGCCCAATTGAATTCTGCATTCTTCTAGATTCTTCTTGTCCCGCCTCTTTCAACCTTAACTATAATGCCATTTTAATGATAGTCTCTTCTACCCTGTTAGACTAGGGTTTCTCAAGCTCGGCATTACTGACATTTTGGACTACATAGTTCTTTGTTGTGTAAGAGCTGTCCTGTGCATTCTAGAATGTTTAGTAGCATCCCTGGCTTCTACCCACTAGATGCCAGTAGCATCTCCCCCAGCCCCCACATATATACCCGGCTGTAACAACCAAAATGTCTCCAGTCATTACCAGATGTTTGCTGAGCTGCAAATTCTCCCTGGGTTGAGAACCACTCTATTAGTCCCCTTTGACCTACTTTGTCTGACCATTAGTTGAAAGTCCTTCTAATGGCAAGCTGGAAAGATAGGCTAGGATAGTCTTGAATGCCACACTAAGAGATTTACACTTAATCTCATGGCAGTTAAGAGCAATCAACGGTTTTTAAAGGAACTGGCCTGGTAACTCTGCTGGTATATTATGCACATGGCATACTTTATGCACACACCCTTGGGAGGAAGGGATGGTGCTCATTAAGATCAAATCACTTGCCAATATCGTGGCTGGTTAGTGCTCTCAGCTACTAACCAAAAGGTTGGTGTTTCCAGTATACCCAGAGGCCTGGCAACCTACTTCTGAAAAATCAGCCATTGACAACCCTATGGAGCACAGTTCTCCTCTGACATACATGGAGCCGCCATGAGTCAGAATAAACTCCATGGCAAATGGCAACAACTGGCAAGTCATTGGTGGAGTCAGGGTGTGCTCTTAGGCCTGTGTGATCAGAAACTTGTGCCCATTCCTCTGCATCTCACCAGCACCGAGTTAGACCACCACTGTTCACCCAGCTGGCATCCCCATTAGCACAGCCTGGGAGCCTAGGATTGGCTGCTGAACAGTATAGACTGTAGCAGCTAGACTGAAGGACAGCTTTGAGACACAGAGGGCAGGGGCCAGGAGACAGCCAGGATGGAAAAACTGACAAGGTATGTCTCTTGCTCTCCAGGTGGGGCGGCTGCAGCTCTCCCACAACCTGAGCTTGGTGATCCTAGTTCCCCAGCATGTGAAACACCGCCTTGAAGACATGGAGAAAGCCCTTAACCCCACCGTCTTCAAGGCCGTTTTGAGGAAGCTGGAGATGATCAAGTTCCAGCCTACTCTTCTGATGATCCCCCGTGTCAAAGTGAAGAGCAACCAGGACATGCTGGGAATCATGGAGAAGATGGGTGAGCCCTGGCAGCCGGGGCTCACTGCCCAGCCCGTCAGGGGACAAAGGGAGGTCCCTAAAATGTAGTCAGCATTTTCTAGAGTACTTTTGACATCCATAATCTCAGGCTGTCTGTCTCTCAACCCTGTGAGTTAGAGAGGCAGGTGCCATTATCCAATGGGGTCATTGAGGAAACTGAGGCTTAGAAAGTTTGTCTGACTTGCCCGAGTTCCCTTGAGTTGAGAATTACCCTTAGAGGTGAACCAGAACACGAATCCATGTCTCCAGTTCTCTCAACTATTTCCATTATGGTTCACTGTGACATAGACACTGGGACAAGTAGGTGGCCAAGGTGAGTTGTGGACACTCCTTCCCCAGAGACTTTCCACAGCAATCAACCACCCCATGGAACACGCAAGAAGCTACCTGGGTAAGAGCCTCTGGAAGCTTCTCGGTTTAGGAAGAACACAGAGATCCCATTTCCTAACCTTTCACCTCGCTTTCTGATATCTGACTTCATGTCTAGATACTACACTCCATGTCCTGTTACAGAACCGGACCTCCTGATACACAATCTCATTCCTAGTATATGACATCACATCCTTGTATGTGATCTCATTTTGTAACGTGACCGCGTTCTGCTATATGACCTCACTTCCAATGTCCTTGGAGGCAAGGAGGAAATGATATCATATCTCAGGGTTTTGGTGGGAGTGGGGAGGCAAGGCCTCTCACCTCTTGAGAGAGAGTGGTGGTTGGAATGAAGATGGGCCCACTGAGAGAGGATCCCATAACCAGACCAGATATATAATCTGATAAGCCTTGGTGGCCCAGTGGTTAAGTGATTGGCTGCTAACTAAAAGGTCGGTGGTGCAAACCCACTAGCAGCTCCATAGGAGAAAGACCTGGCGATCTGCTCATGTAAAGATTACATCCTAGAAAACACTATGGGGCATCCAACAACAACAGCAAGCAAGGGAAGAAGGAGGAAGAGCATCGGGACTAGCCTAGACCATCCAGGACAAATGTCCCCTGCAGGCAGCAGCTGAGGGTCTCCAGCTGGTCACTGACCCTTTGTTTTCCTCTGGTTATGCCCTAGAATTCTTTGACTTTATTTTCGACCTCAACCTGTGCGGGCTGACGAAGGAACAAGATCTTCAGGTGTCAGCGATGCAGCACCAGACCATGCTGGAGCTGACGGAGTCGGGGGTGGAGGCAGCTGCAGCCTCCAGCATCTCTGTGGCCCGCACCTTGATGATCTTTGAAGTGACACAGCCCTTCCTCTTCGTGCTCTGGGACCAGCAACACAGGTTCCCGGTCTTCATGGGCCGGGTGTATGACCCCCGGGCCTGAGACCTTCAGGGAGCCAAGTTAAGAGCCCTGCCCTTCAAGCCTCAGCTCCGCTGCTACCTGGACTTGCCCCCAGCTGCCTCCCGCCTCTGGTGTCATCTGTCCGCCACGTGAAGGGCTCTCTCAGGTCTGGTGAAGGGACCTGCTTCTGTCATTCCCTCGCCAAGGCTATGTCACGCTCACCAAACCATTCTGCAGCTTTTTCTGGTTCAGGTTCACCAAACTATAAATAAAACCTGGCAGACCATGGCTTCCTCTCATTTGCCTTTCCATACTGTCTGCCTCAGTATTAGAGGACGAGGTCTACTGGTGGTCCTTGTATCAGTTAGCTATTACCGTGTAACAAGTCACTCCAAACTAAGTGGCTTAAGACAGCAACCATTTACTGTTTCACATAAGTTTCTGGGTTGGCTGGGTTGTCTTGCTGGTCTGGGCTGGATCTGGCTGATCTTGGTGGGCTTGTTCATGCATCTGTAATGGCTGATGGTTTGCTTGGGGGATGACTGGTCTAAGATAGGCTCAGCTGGGACTACTTTGCTCTGCTCCCCGTGTCTCCCACATCTCTCCAGCAGGCAAGCCTGTGCTTGTTCTCATGGAGGTGGCAAGGTTTCAGGAGAGGAGAAAAAAAATGTGCCGATTCTTTTTCACATCTCTGCTTGAATCAACTTACCATTGCCTATTGGCCAAACCCAAGGTTAGAGAAGGAAAGGATGACAAAAGTTACAATGCAGAGAGTGGCAAAGAATACTGCATGTACCACGGAATGCCAGAAGAAGGAACAAATCTATCTCAGAAGAAATACAACCAGCATGCTTCTTAGAAGCGAGGATGGTGAGACTTCGGCTCGCGTACTTTAGACATGTCATCAGGAAAGACCAATCACTAAAAAAAGACTTCACGTTTGGTAAAGTAAAGGGTCAGTGAAAATGAGGGAAACTCTGTGTAAGATGGGTTGACAAAACAGCTGCAACGTGGACTCAAACATACTAACAATCATGAGGATGGCACAGGACTGGGCAACGTTTTGTTCTGTAATACGTAAGGTTGCTGTGAGTTGGAGCCAACTCAGTAGCACCTAACAACATCATGCAATTCATTCATCACTATCCCTATCTGTAAAGATCCTGCAAAGGTTTATGTGCTCACTTGCATTATAGATCCCCACCAACCATGAGGCCATGGTGAACCGCAGGCCCCTAATTATCAGAACTCCCACTCAGGGTCAGCTGACCCAATTCCAGGGATCTGCTTCCTATCCTCAACTACAGCTACTACACACGAGTTTGGTCGGGTTAGTTCTGAGAAAGAACTGATTAAGGTTTCACTGCAGTTAGTCTTTGCTGCCACATGGTGTCACTGTTGAAGCTTTGTCCTGCATAGCCTTTTGGACACTTGTCCTTCCTCTGATGCTTTTTTGCTGGTCCCAAATTCCATTTTCTTCAAGGTAATTTTATTCTTTGGGACTCCCCGGGTGGTGCACATGGTTAAGCAATCCGCTGCTAACCGAAAGGTTGGCAGTTCAAATCCACCCAGAGGCACCTTGGCAGAAAGGCCTGGTGATCTACTTCCAAAAAGATCACAGCCATTGAAAACCCTATGAAGTACAATTCTACTCTGAAACACATGGGGTCGCCATGAGCCAGAATCAACTGAACAGCAACTGGTTTAATTTTATTCTTAAACATCCAAACCAAACATTGCCATCGAGTCATTCTGACTCCTAGCGACCCTATAGGACAGAGTAGAACCGCCCCCATAGGGTTTCCAAGCAGACTGCCACATCTTTCTCCCACAGAGCAGCTGATGGGTTCAAACTGCTGACCTTCCGGTTAGCAGCTGAGCACTTAACCATTGCATCACCAGGGCTCCCTTAAACAGCTAAAGTGGGGATTTAAACTTTGATAACAAATTTTATAGTTCACACTCACTCAGCCTCTGTCTCCCAAAAATCAATATCTTGAGGTTCTGCCTAGATTCTGAAAGGCTTCCAACCTGGGCGTCATGTTATGTCAGAACCAGCCTGGTCCCTACAAACCCTTAGCCGAGGTTGAGAACCACAACAGCAGCAGCAACAACATATATTAAATAGCAATTACCATGCATCAGGCACTGTCTTAGTCATCTAGTGCCGCTATAACAGAAATACCACAAGTGGATGTCTTTAACAAAGAGAAGTTTATTTTCTCACAGGCTAGTAGGCTACAAGTCCAAATTCAGGGCATCAGCTCCAGGAGAAGGCTTTCTGTCTCTGTTGGCTCTGGAGGAAGGTCCTTGTGATGCACAATCTTCCCTTGGTCTACAAGTGTCTCAGCACAGGAACCTTGGATCCAAAGGACACACTCTGCTCCTGGCACTGCTTTCTTGGTGGTATGAGGTTCCCATGTGTCTCTGCTCGCTTCTCTCTTTTATATCTCAAAAGAGATTGGCTTAAGACACTATCCAGTCTTGTATACCTCATCAGTATAACTGCCGCTAATCCATCTTATTACATCATAATGACAAGAGTTTACAACACATAAAGAAATCACATCAGATTACAAAATGGTACACAATCATAACAATACCGAGAATCATGACCCAGCCAAGTTGACAGATATTTCTGGGGGACACAATTCAATCCATGACAGGCACCATCCTAAGAATTTTACATTTAAGAGGAGCTCACACTTTATGAAAGGGATATGTCATTGAAGACATCAGATCATTCAAAACTCATATAATTTGATACTATGTTTTCCAGAAGAATAACTGTAAAAGGGAGGGAGAAGAATCTTCAACCACTGTAGGATGTTTTCGCTTTTGTGCTACTTTTTAACTTTTTATTCACTAAACACTAAAATCTCTAATATGTCACAGAGGAAGCACTCCTAAATTAACTGCTTGGCGGGTCATGACAGTTATTTGAGCTTTTGCATAGTGTTTTATCATATCTTGCATCCATTATAGAGTTATTGATTTGAGGGAGTGGTTTTTGGCACTAACAGCATCACTTAATGAACTCGGAGATAACATCATTCTAGGATGCAGGAAATATTTTAATGAACTCTGAGATAATATCATTCTAGGATGCAGAAAATATTTTAAATGATAGTGATACTGAATGTTAAAATAACAATGCATTAGTCATGAAAGTCACCACCAGAAGTCTGATGTACATAAACAACAGCTTGATTCACATGATATGGGCACTGAGGGCAATTTTTCTTCACTTTTGCCAGCTCAGGTGGCGCTGTCATGTAGCAAGAGTTGAAAGCACAGTTTCCAATCCACTCAGCCCACCAATTTTTAAATTACACAACCCTTGATGATTTTTAAGGAGCCTTGGTGGTGCATGGTTAAGGTACTTGGCTGCTAACGGAAAAGTAGACCATTCGAACCCACCAGCCACACTGCAGGAGAAAGAGGTGGCAGTCTGCTTCCGTAATGATTTTAGCCTTGGAAACCCTATGGGGCAGTTCTACCCCGGGGCACTATGAGTCAGAATCAACTCAATGGTAATGGGTTGGACGCTTCAATATTGTCTGTATGTTTTACAGTGCATATGATTATCTTTGTAATCAAAGATCAAAAAAAATCAAAAGTAACAGAAAAAAACAAACAAAAAATCATCAAAACCAAAACCCGTAGCTGTCGAGTTGATTCAGACTCATAGCGATCCTATAGGACAGAGTAGAACTGCCCCGTAGGGTTTCCAAGGAGCAACTGGTGGATTCAAGCTGCCGACCTCTTCTTGGTTAGCAGCCGTAGCTCTTAACCACATTGAGTGCACAAAGTTAAAAATGAAAGAGAAATGCCCCTCCACCCCTCCTCAAGTGTCACTCAGGAAGGAGTCTTTCCAGAGGCTCTCTGAAGCATTTACAATTCCATAGCTTTTAGATTTTTCTGGTCCAGATAGCCTAGTTAGGGGCCTTTTATGAATTAGCAACATGCCATCATTAATAACACTTTCTAGCTGGAGGAGAATCTGTTTGGCTGAGTTTTCAAATCATCCAGTTCTGTCCGTGTCAATCTTTCTTTAACTTGACATCAGTTCTGTTCCCACCTTGAAAGGGAACTGGTGTGGTGATTTTTTTGTTAATATTGTATTTTATTTTTGGTGGAAGATATACATAGTAAAACCCATTCCCATTCAACAGTTTCTAGACATAATGATCAGTGACACTGGTTACATTCTTCACATTGTGTCAACAATCTTGTTATTTCTGTTCTAGTTGTTTCACTCCATTAACTTAAATTCCCTGCCCCCCAACCTTCTCATCTATCCTTTAAAATAGGTGTTGTCTGCTTGGTCTTATATAAACCGAAAAACCCAAACCTGTTGCCATCGAGTAAATTCTGACTCATAGCGACCCTATAGGACAGAGTAGAACTGCCCCATAGGGTTTCCAAGAAGGAGCTGGTGGATTCAAACTGCCAACCTTTTGGTTAGCAACCAAGCTCTTAATCACTGTGCAGCCAGGGCTCCTGGCGTTATATAGATTTTTTTTTTTTTTTTTAAAGAAGGTAATACTCAAGGTGATAATCTTTACTTTTCGAGCTAAACTGTTACTTAAAGGTGACTTCAGGGGATAGCCTGAGGGATTCCTCCAGCCTCAATAGGTCCAGTAAGTCTAGATTCTTTAAGAATTTGAAATTCTGTTCCACATTTTTCTCCCTTTCTATCAGGATCCATCTACTGTGTCTGATCAGATCGTTCGGTAGTGAAAGATTTTTTTTTTCCAATTTAGGGGGATTTTCAGGTCTTTAAATTTGTACAATTCAATTTTACATAATATACGATAGCACCATACTATTAACCAAAGCCATTGAGCGGACTCTGACTCATGGTAACCCCATGTGTTTCAGAGTGGAACTGTGCTCCATAGGGTTTTCAATGGCTTTGATCTTTCAGAAATAGTTCACCAGGCCTTTCTTTTGAGGTGCCTCTGGGTGGACTCAGACTGTCACCCTTTGGATTAGCAGCTGAGTGTTAACCATACTATTAAAAACCAAACTCGTTGCTGTTGAGTTGATTGTGACTCATAGCGACACGATGGAACAGAGTTGAACTGCCCCATAGGGTTTCCAAGGAGTCGCTGGTGAATTCAAACTCCTGACCTTTTGATTAGCGGTCACACTCTTAACCACTGCACCACCAGGGCTCCAACCATACCATTACTATCCTCTTTTTTGTAGATGGAAAGGTGAAGCCTTAGAGGACATTTAAGGTCTCATAGCACAAAATAGTGGAGTTGGGAGTACAACCCAACCCTGTCTAGGTC